TGCTGAAGTGTGAGAGATGAATGATGTGGCTTTTCCTTACTGTTTCAGTTTGGCTCCATTGCCAAATCCCCCCCAAAAGCTGGGGAGGGATGCAGGTGTGAGAGTGGGAAGGTGGGGGCAGCTAAGAAAAGCACAGAGTCCCTCCTCATCTCCAATCTGACCCCATCCCATGAGCCCATCTCATGGACCAACTGGTGGCCCTCATCAGGGAGGCTGGGACAGTTCTGGCCAGAAGGAAACTCAATAGCTTGGCTAATTATCCAATTTATGAGGCTCTCAAATGGAGTTTCCAGAGCCTGGGAGCCCGGTGCCTCCCTGGCCCCATCCTGCACAGCACAGCCTCTGCCAGCATCTCCGTCACCACCGGCCTCGGCTCAGACCTTGACCCTCTGCACCTGCACAGCTCTCCCCTGGTGCTTCCCGCTGACCTACATCACTCCTGGGGAGCAGCAGCAGATTTCTAGGGAGAAAGCCAGCAAACAAAGAGGAGCTAGAAATGCCACAGCCTATAGAGACAAACTCCACGTTGATGCCCGACTTCATCCTGCCCCCACCAAAACCACCCTGGCTTCCTCAGAGCAAAGCAGCCTCAGAGACCCCCACCCCAAAAGGATCCTCCAGGCTCCCAGGACAGGGATCCTGAAGCCATGGAGAGGACCAGACCCCTGCAGTGCCTCAGCGAGGCACCTGGCAGCCAGGGATGCTGCTGCTCCAGCCCCGCACGCTCACGTTGTGCGGTACCAACACCGCACGTCCTGGCTCCAGTGTGGTGGCCACCAAACCATCTCCCAGCTTTGCTGGTGGCCACATGTGGCCTGGACACAGGGCTGTGCCGTGGTGAGTGAAGGGCTGGCAGCAGCACAAGGCCCTGCTGCACCAGGCTGCCGTGAGAGGAAACTTCTGCTCTTCCACAACGCTGCCAGTTTCCTCTCTGCGGGCTAATTTTAACCACCGTGTCGCTGCAGTGCGTGTCAAAAACCTGACCCTGCTCTGACCTCCAACCTCCCACCCCGGCTACTGCCCGAGCGAGGCACCCTCATGCACCAGCAGCTGGGGCTGCCTCTGTTTGGAGCTGCACCCCCCCAGGATCCTGCATCCCCCTGTGCCTGCACCAGCGGGTGGAGGGGGAGGAGAAGCCCCTTCCTCCCCACGGGAGGTGGTCACTGCTGTGGAGAGGTGCTGATGGCAAGGATATAGTATTTCAGGGAGCAAGAGACCTGGAACCACCAATTCAGGTCCTAAAAACTGTGTCCTACAGGACAGAGATGGGCAAAGGGCAAGGTGACAGGCTCAGCAGCCCCAGGAGCAGGTCAGGCTGCTGGAGATCTGCTTTCCCAGAACAGCCCTGTGCTGCTTGGGACATCCAGCCATGAGCAATCCCAGCAAGTGTCACTGCAGGAACATTTCCATCCTCCTGGCTCTCCTTTAGGAATGATACTGCACAGGGGAAAGTTTGAAGGAAAGAGAACAAGAGCAAAGTGGGAATGTCTGTCATGGGAAACATCCCCCCTTAGCACTCCGGGCTGCAGCAGCACCAGGGGAAGTGGTGGAAACCTCATTGTCTGCTTCATGCCCAGCAAGATGGGCTGATGCTGTGGAGACCCAGCCTGACTCACATGGGGTGACTTCAGCCCAGGGATTTTCCAGTCCTGGTATCTGCAGTTCCCTTGTGCTGGGCAAGCCAAGCACCAGGCACTGCAGGAACAGCCACGGGGACATGCCTGTGGCAGCACCAAGGATGAGCCCCACTGCCAGCAGCCCCATGCTGTGGGATGGCAGGATGCGGCCGACAGCAGCAGGGAAGGGGATACAGGAACTGTTTGGATATGTGGGAAAGAGATGGGCACTCCTTCCTGACACCATTCCTGAGGGATTTCTCAAGACATCTCTAAAAGTAAAAGCTGTCACATCTAGTTGAGGACCCATGAGGTTTCCACTTAGGCACAACAGGCTGGGCACTGACACAGCTGTGGTGCAGCCACCTCTGCACAGCAAAGGGTCAAATCCTACTGTCAGAGCCTCCTGGATTGGGAATGATCAGGCCCATTGCAGGAGAGCTCCCTTCACCCATGGCTGGGGACAAGGGCAGGTGGGTTTACTCCTTCCTCCCCAAAGAAGGAACAAGTAGGAAACACCAGATTTCCTGCCAAACCAGCACAGCCTGATGCTTAAACTCAGCTCATCTGCTGGGGAGAAAAAAGCCCAAGTGAGGGCCAATGACATAATGCCACAGCAACTCGTCTCATGAACACATTTTTCCAGCCCACATGAATGAAAAACAGGGAAGGAGCAAATGCTCTGCACATCCCCGTCACGTGCAGCCCCGCTGGAGGCGGCGGCAGAGCCCTGGGGTGCCCCCCCTGCCGCGGGGCAGCCCGGCCTCGGAGGTGCTGGGAAAGAAGTGACCTGTGCCTGGCACACAGGGCTCTCTCCAGCAGCAGAGAGGGACCTTGCGTGCAGCCCAGCAACCCGCTTCAGTCACAAAGTTCCTGTTTCGAGGTGGAAACGTGAGTGCCCGCGGCAGCGCCGCGATGCCCCGGGCGCTGGGTCGCCCACCAAGGCACACGTGGCGATTCCCTCTGCCCGAGGGGAGACGGGTGACAATGCCAGGAGCTGTGCCCAGCCTTCCCGAGGCACGCAGTAACACCGTGTGGGATGTGGCAGCAGACACCCTGGTCCCAGCAGGGAACAGGACCACCCCGTGCACCCTTCCCCCTCTGCCCGGGCAGCAGGAACCGAAAGCCTGGCTGGGAGTCATTGCTGGGTATTAAAATAGGTCTGAGCTGCTCGCAAAGGAAAACCGAAACCGAGACCTGCTGAAGTGGTCGGGTGCCCCTGGCTGTGACCCGGGCTCAGTTCCCCCGAGGCGTTGCCCAGCCCCTCGGCACCGGGTGCCTCTGGGGACGCGTGGCCGGACCCGGTGTGGGGCAGCCCTGATCGCCAGGGCCGGAGATGAGAGGTTTCTAATCTCCAACCACCAGCTCCCAGCACCAGCCACCAGTGGCTGCCAGGGCACTGACGAGGCTTGTTAGTGCTCCACTGCTAATTCATGGGTCATACATTAACATACTAATCACTGAGTAGGACGCAGCAGGACAGACATTAACACACACTAACTGCCTGTAGAGACCCACTGGGCTGTGCATTAACTGTAGCAGCCGCTGGACTTCCAGAGCTGCTTCACAGTGCCGGTGTCACCAGGACCCTGTGTCTGTGTCATCTCCAGGACTGATGAGGAGTCCCCAGATCTAACAAGAGGTCCCCACATCTAACAAACCTGACCCCTCTATGGCCTTGGCTGTATTTTTCCCCTGCAGATAAAACAAGCAGAAGGGACAGCGGCACCTGGCCTGAGGGAGATGGCAGCACGTGTCCTCCAGGAGATGTAAGGGGAGGGAGGGGACTGTGAGAGCAGTGCCTGGGGACACACACACATACACACGTGCACCTGGTGCTGGCGGGGTGACACCACCAGAAACCAGCCACAGTCTCACTTTGGGTCAGAGGCAGGGGTGGAGCCGGGGGGGCGGCCCCC